GCAGGGGCAGCGCCGGGCCCGGCCCACAGCAGGCGTGGCACCGCCCACCCGCAGGGCCCAGCCGGGACCAGCGCCGCAGCGCGAGTGAAAAAAACACGAACACAAAAAACCCTGCTTCACGTAAATCTGAGTTTTATTAGTATTCGACTTCAAAAACCGGATTAAAATTGACAACACATTAATTTTCTAAAAAGTAAAGCAAAACCGCAGCTGTTAAACATATTTAAAATAACTGGTTAGTGGAATAGGTGATAGCATGAAGTCAGCTCTTCCGTTTTACATGCGTTTTCCCTAGTAGGGTTGTCCTATTCTGCTACATGGGACAGGATCTATAGGTTGTATCTACTGCTGGACACTGTTTAACCTGCACATAACAGTGACATAGCGCCGTTAAAAATCTTTAATGTTAAAAATTGTACATAATGCATTAATACAAGAACATAAAAAAGCCCAATAAATACAGAGTTTAGGTTTTCCAGTTTGGGCTTCCCAGCATGCTGATGCTCAAGTGAAGAGGATAAAAATGGCAGAGCCTTGTTTTAAACCTGGTTTTACATAAAATCTTGAAATACATAATTAATTCATATTTCTTGTGTTACTGCTGCCTTTCAGAGGGAAATGAGCAGTTAGGGCAGGACAGCTATGAAGTGGCTCTTCAGCCAAGTTTTATCAGCTAGGCTACCTGTTCAAACATTTGCTGTGTACTATAAATTAAGTTTCACTTCAGAGAGTTGCATGGTCACATTCTGAGTCTCTAGAGAGAACTTGCAGAAAGATTAAATCTTCAAGATCTGAAAGTGTCAATTCATGATGTATATTAATCTATCAAGGTTACTACATTGATGCCAGAAGTATGAACATAATTTATCCCAATTCACAGAACATAGATATTTTTCTCAAGCTGAAGAAAAATTGCCTTTAAAGATGGATCTTCTGCCCAGTTAATTCTGCTTCCAATTATGATATTCTATAAGAAAGAAAGATTACCAGTTTAAAAAAGCCTTTTAAAAGGATTATTCCTTATCTCTCAAAAGATGTCTCTTTTTTAATTTTTAATTTGGAAACCCTTAAAATTCACAACAGTGTTTGAAGTAGGCAGGATGGGGGGGGAAAGAATAAATATGTATTGGTTTAGATTCTATTGTCCACACAGGCAAAAAAAAAAAAGGTGGTGATTTGAATTTCCTATAGGTGCTTGCACACCATCCCTGTTTTAAACATAGGAATTTAGAGCTTTTTTTAAAAAAAACATATAAAGTTTTCCAATAACACAGTTAATGTTTTCACCCTGCCATTCTGGACTGAAAATGAGAATTATTAAAATTTGACCAAAGATTTGCTTTTCTTACAGGTCAGAAGATTTCATGAATACAAAACTAGGAGATAATTCTAGGAATCTAATATAAAACCCACTAAAATATTTCTCATTCTCAATTTCAAATGTAACATTGTTATCAATGCAAACTAGTAGTAGGTATAGCATGCAATACTAAAAACACATGGCACTCTTTCTGCTCTTGAAATTCTTCTGATCATCTCGATTCATAGAATGGTTATATCCTGTCTTCTACCTGAAGCCTACCAGTATGTTCTCTCTTTTCCCCAGTCTAAATTTTTTAAATAAACTTTGTATGCATTTAGCTGGGATTTCATAACCTGTTTGCAGATAAGAGCACTGCAATCACAGTTTACCGTTCACTGTGCCTCCTATCTTTGTACTTAAGTCATGGATTTGTGGGGCCAGGTGAAGAAAGCCAAGTCACATAAGTGAGAGGTAGAATAACAGACTGCAGCATCTGATACGTGGGTAACCAAAAGGTTGAAGGCTACACTGCTGAAAGTATTTGGAGACTGGCTGCAGCTGCAGGCCAAGGCTTTCACAAGGCTGCAGTGGGCCACATGGGGCAGACTGAGGAGAAGCAGCCTGGCTCACTGGTATCATGGAGTTAAGACCTACTTATTTTTCCTAACTATGACATGAAGAAACTGACTTGGGGGGGGAGGGGTGTCTCTCAGTATAAGGAAATATAGGCACTGCTGTGACAGACATTTAAAAAAAAAACCCAAGCGTTATTTTTGTACCTTTAAGGAAACAAAGGAATAAAGATTGATTGATAGACTGTCTCTAAACTCCGTATACTGTCTCTAAACCCCATAAATCATTATTCCAAAGAATTTTGTGGCAGTTTCATGATTTTAGCCTTTAAAGCACATAAAGTTTTCCTGCCATACAGTAGTTTTTCCATTATCATCATTACTTAAAAGTTTTTAGAAAACACAGTTTTGTTTGAAGTTACATTTGCTATACACCATGTTATCTTGACTGTAAAGCAAAACTGCAAACTTGATTCTAAAAGCTACAACACATTACCTGGAATATATGTTGAACTATTGTAATAGTATCTCTCTCTTTTTGTAAGTTATCATGCACCTTCTCCAGGAGTTTGGTTACTCGCATAATTTCTTGCTCCTCCTTTTTTTTTTTCACCATAAGATCTATTTGCAGTTGTGTCTGTGCAGCTTTTAGTGCTGTTCCATTATCAGGAAAACAAAGTGTTAAGTAGTTAGGTGAGCAGTAGAACTAAAGAGATGCTTTTTTCCTCAGATATCTTCCACTACAGTAACCCTAACTTCCCACTCCATCCCTTGCCTCCAGTATACCTCAAGATACTGCTTTTACACAAGAGGCAACACCTGCTGTGGCTACCTGGTATCAAGGTATATTGACTGATTCCCTGGCTGTTAGCAAAATGAAGCACTTTGTATGCTGTCTGCATTTCCATCAGACACGAACCATAATATGAACATCTGTCCTACACCCCATCTTCAGCTGTCACAACTTTTATCGTCAGATGTTTAAGACCCTCTCCCCTTTTCAAATTCAATCCAAATGAAATTCCAAAGTTATATAAGAGACATAGGGACAACACCTGTGAATATTACTAGTTTTTATATGAAATCAGGCTAGAAACTAGACTGAATAAAAGCATTTTATGCATTGAAAGAATGCTGACACAGCACTTCTTCCCTTATTTCCAAAGATAGTAGGGATGCTAATTTTTCCTATGAAGACAGATATTTTATTGTGTTTGTTCATTACTGTCAATATATACACCACTTTCTATGCATAAAAATAATATGTTAGCAAACCTGGTCATAGGACAGTAGGAGCATACAAAAAAACATATTTACCTTATTAAGTTCTGAACATTGACTTCACATCAAAATTTGACCCACTCTGACAAGTCTACCGAAAACCTATATATATATATATATATATATATATATATATATATACACACACACACACA